GTGATGACCCCCAACCAAAAAATTATTTTTGTTGCCACTTCATAACTGTAGTTTTTCTAAGCTATGAATATTAACATAAAGTATCTGATATGCAGGATATCTGGTCTATGACCCCTATGAAAGGTCATGACCCACAGGTTAAGAAACGATACTTTAAGGCTTTCTCCCTCTTAAGGGTCATCAAACAGGATTTGTTTCTCTGGTAGAGCTGAGTGAGCCATCTGCCTGAAATGATTATTTCAGTATTTCATCTTTACTGCACTCTGAGTACCATGGTTCTTCAATAAAGTGTAGCTGAGGATTAAACTTTGTAAATGGTATTTTTAGATGTTATTTAATAACTCTATTAGTTACTACTATGGCCAGGCTAGCCTCCCAATAATTGAAGCAGAGTCCTATGAATTTTTAAATCAGCTTCAGCACAATTACTGGGCGAATTAACCCTAAATCTATTTTTCTATGTGCTAGACTATCTACTTCCCCAGCTATGCTCTCCAAATATTTGTTGTTTGAGTGTCACCAGGGCTATTTCTGCGTGTCCTTAGGGTCCACTTCTCCTGTCCACGTGCTCATGGTCTATCCCTTCTTCCTCCTCCTCCTCCCTCTCCTCTTCCTCTTCCTTTTTCTTCTGCCTCCTTCTTCTCCTCTTCCTCCTCCTCCTTTCTTCGGTCTCCTCCTCCTCTCCTTCATGTGGTCCCTATCTGCAACCCCCAGCCCAGTAATTGAAATCTCACCTACCTGTATCTTCCCAGTAATTGGCTGTAGCCACTTTTTTTTTTTTCCTTTTCGAGACAGGGTTTCTCTGTATAGCCCTGGCTGTCCTGTCCTGGAACTCACTCTGTAGACCAGGCTGGCCTCGAACTCAGAAATCCGCCTGCCTCTGCCTCCCAAGTGCTGGGATTAAAGGCGTGCACCACCACCGGCCGGCCCTCCTTATGTCATCTTGATTGCTACTGATCTGTAGGGAGCTCTGACATTGGGAACTCTGAGTCCCCCAGTTACTTGGACACACACGTGCATGTGCGTGTGCGTGTACGCGTGTTCCCGCGCACAGCCTTTATTAACTTGGATTTTGTGTGAGAGAGTATACTGCATCTGACAGAGACTCAATATAAAGTCTTTTGGAGAACACTGTCCTTTTTTTTTTTTTCAATTTATTTTCATTTTTTTTTTAATTTTTAAATTTATTTATTTTTTTATTTTTGGGTTTTTTTCGAGACAGGGTCTCTCTGTGTAGTCCTGGCTGTCCTGGAACTCACTCTGTAGACCAGGCTGGCCTCGAACTCAGAAATCCGCCTGCCTCTGCCTCCCAAGTGCTGGAATTAAAGGCGTGCACCACCACCGCCCGGCGAACACTGTCCTTTTAATATAATTTTCCTTACTTCTTCTCTTTTCTTCTCTTAATGTGTTTTTGAGACAAGGTTACGCTGTGTAGCCCTGGTTGTCCTGGAACTTACTCTGTAGACCATAGACTACGATAGCCTCAAACTCATAAACATCCTCCTGCCTCTGCCTCTCAAATACTAGGTGTGCACTACTATTTTTTCTTTTCTTTTTTTTCTTTCTTTTTTTTTTTTTTTTTTGTTCCACAAACAAGTTGCCACTTGTTTTGATGTTCTTTAATTGCCTTCACCATGGCTTTTTAGTTTTCAAGTGGCCATTTTGCAATTTGTTTTGGTTTTGTTTGTTTTTTGAAAGAATCTTAATATGTAGCTCAGGTTGGGTTGAATTCCAGATCCTCTTGCCTCAGTATACAGGTTGTTTATTTGTTTTGCTCTTAAATTTACTTATTTTGAGACAGGTCTCACTAATGTAGCCCTAGATGGCCTGAAAGTCTCTATGTAGACCAGCTGGCCTGGAACTCATAGATTCACAGAGATCCTACTTCTGCCCCCTAAGTACTGGGATAAAGGCATGTGCATGGCCCTCCCCCTGCTGAAAAACATTTTGCTATGTATTCTAGCAGACTGACTTGGAAATCTCCATCCTTCTGCCTTAGCTTCCTGAGCACCAGAATCAAGTATGTGCTCCACGATTTCTAGTCTACTATTTAGAACTTTATTCACGAGTATGTGGGTATGTCTATGTCTATGTCTCGATATACAAATGCCTATAGAGGTCAGAAGAGGGCTTCAGATCCCCTGGAGCTAGAGTTACAATTCACTTCCAGTTACTCAGTGGTGTTGGTGCTGAGAACCAAACTTGTGTCCTCTGGAAGAACAGCAAACTTTTTAACCACTGAGCCTTATCTCCAGCCCCTACACACACATTAGGGGTCATGGGTGAACATTGGGTGTCTTCCTAAAGAACTCGCCACTTTTTTTTTTTTTTTTGAGACAGGGTCTCTCTTGGCAGCCCTGGTTGTTCTGAAACTCACTATGTAAATCTTGAACTCACCTGCCTTCATCTCTCGAGTGCCGAGACTAAAAGCATACACTGCCAGAACCATCCACTATGGTTTTGTATGTGAGTTCTGGGAATCTGAGTTCACATCCTTGTGCTTGTGAGGCAAGGCTTTTACCAAGCGAAACAGCTCGGGCCCTATTTTAAAATGCCTAAAATATCTAATACCTTAAACATTTTCAGCATTAAATCCAGAGGAAACATCATCCCAGCACCATGAAAACAAGCAAAAAAACAAAACAAAACAAATATAGGTATTTTACTTATGGGAGGTGCTTAAAAGAAATCAAAACCACAGAAAGAAAGAATGGTGGTTGCCAGGGCTCAGGGGAGAGAATGGGAACAGTCCTCTAATAAGCAGAGTTTCCATTTTAGAAATAAGAGTCCTAGAAATTGATGCCGTTGCTCTGGCGATGGCTGTGCAGCAATATGAATGTCCTTAATGCCACCCAACTGCCATTCAAGGGAAGAACTGGGAAGGGAGAAGGCTGGGGATTGGACCCAGTGTCTTTCACATACTAAGCAAGTGCTGTGCTAGTGAACGATATCCCCAGACCAAGTTAACAAATTAATGTACAACTCCAGCTTTTATATGTATGGGTGTTTGGCCTGTAGGGATACCTATGTACCACTGTGTGTCTGGGGCTCTGGGAAGCTAGGAGAGGACATCAGGTCTAGAACTGGAGTTACAGTTGTGAGCCACCATGTTGGTGCTGGAATTCAAACCTGGGTCCTCTGGAAGAGCAACTAACTAGTGCTCTCAACTGCCGACCCATCTCTTCCAGATATACTTTTATAATATCAGAGCTTTGAGTGGGTGAGTGTGTGTGTACCATGTAAGGTGAGGACTCTTGTGGAATTGGAGTTACAGAAAGTTCTAAACAGCTTGATATGAGTGCAAAGAAACAAACCCACAAGGGTTGCAAGGTCCCCTGCAAGTGCACCAAATATCTTTATGGCTGAGCCATCTCTCCAGCTTTACAACTATTAATTTTTAAAAAAGACAGAAAGATAGCTAATGGTGGTTTACTCTTATAATCCCAGCATTTAGTATGATCAGGAAGGAGGATCACTATGAATTCAAAGTCAACCTGGCCTAGTGATGTTATCTCAAGATAAAATAAGAAAGCTGGGCTCAGCTGCTGGCCTAACATGTCGATGCTGGGTTTGGGGAGATGGCTCAGTGGTTAGGAGCAGCTGCTGCTTTTGCATAGAACCTGAGATCAATTCTTAGCACCTACATGATGGTTCACAACCATTCATAACTCTAGTGTTAGGGGATCTAATGTCCTCTTCTGATCCCTGGGGCACCAGGCATGTCATATGACACACATACACATACACACACACACCACATTCAGCTGGTACACATTCCTACATGTAAGGAAAACAAAAACAAACCATATAACCCACAAAACACACCCCCTAGTCTGAATTAATTAATTAATTTATTTATTTACTTATTTTTTTTTTTTTTGAGACAGGGTTTACCTGTGTAGCCCTGGCTGTCCTGGAACTCACTCTGCAGACCAGGCTGGCCTCGAACTCAGAAATCCACCTGCCTCTGCCTCCCAAGTGCTGGGATTAAAGGTGTGTGCCACCACTACTCGGCAATATTAATTATTCTTAATATTAACTTTTAACCTATAGGGCCAGGCATTTCTAAATGCACAAAATAACTGTGGGCATTGAAATGGCCCAGTGGGTAACTAAAAGGTGCCTAACATCAAGCCTGAAGACCTGAGTTTGATCCCTGGGGCCCACAGAGTGGAAGGAGAGAACTAATCAATACAGGCTGCCTCTGCTCTCCACACTACAGCCATAGTGCCTGTGTGCTCACACATGTACCCAAAGTAAATACATCAGTTAATACGAGTTATTAAAAATAATCTGTGGCCGGGCAGTGGTGGCACATGCCTTTAATCCCAGCACTTGGGAGGCAGAGGCAGGTGGATTTCTGAGTTCGAGGCCAGCCTGGTCTACAGAGGGAGTTCCAGGACAGCCAGGACTATACAGAGAAACCCTGTCTCAAAAAACCAAAAAACCAAAAAAAACCAAAAATAATTTGTGAGTAGGGCATTGCGGCTCCTGTTTACAACGGCAGCACTGAGGAGGGTGAGGAGCAGGACACCTGGGCTACAGGGTAATATCCTGCCTGCCTAAGAGCACTGCTGACAGCTGCTGGGGTTTGAGGTGAGCTTACGTGAGGATATGATGCACTTGTGACGTAGGCTTGGGAACATCCCAGGTTACTACTTCTCAAGAAGGGAACGTGTAGAAGGAACACAGGAATAGCTGCGACCTTCCTCAAAGGATGTTCCCACACCTCAGAAAGTTCCCTGAAGATAAGTAACAGTTTTGTGCATTTAAATAACCTTGAACAGGCTGCCCTATGAAACAGCCTTCACTGAACTGCAAACTCCTAAGGCTGTTATAAAGGAGCTATGATAATAAAAATGAGCCTTGTTATGCAAATGGCACTAAAAGCTGGCGGGTCCCCGACCCCCTACTGAGTTTCTGGCTTCAGTTCTGGCATCAGGAGAGACAACTAGGACAACCTTTCATCACCGAAAAACATGGCCCAAAAGAAAACAGACTAAGATTGACTAATTCTTTATTTTTACATACTTGATGAAGGAGCATTCCTTAAACACATTTTCTCCAGTGGAAAACAGAGCATGAAAAGCGGCTTCCAGCTGCTCTGCTCAGGGCCTGGGCTCCTCCTTGCCTGAATGGTGAGGAGGAGGGGTGTATTTCCCCTCTTTCATTAGCTTTTCCCGCTGTCTCTTGATGTCACGCATTCGCCTCATCTGTCAAGGATAAAAAAAGCATTAAAGTAAAGGGAAACGGGACCCAGACAATAAGAGCTAGAGTCTACTCCTATCTTTTGTTTTGTTTGTTTTTTTTTTTTTTTAAAAAAAAAATTCCACCGGGCAGTGGTGCACATGCCTTTAATCCCAGCACTTGGGAGGCAGAGGCAGGTGGATTTCTGAGTTTGAGGCCAGCCTGGTCTACAGAGTGAGTTCCAGGACAGCCAGGGCTACACAGAGAAACTCTGTCTCAAAAAACCAAAAAAACAAAACAAAACAAAACAAAAAAAAAAACCCAAAAAACAAAAAACAAAACAAAACAAAATTCCTAGCTGGGAATTTACATGCCTTTAACCCAGCACTCAGGAGGCAGAGACAGAGGCAGGAGGATCTCTGTGAGTCTGACTTCAGCCTGGTTTACATAACCAGTTCCAAAGAGAACTCAAAAATCAAAAGTAAAATAAAATTCCTGTGCTGGAGCCTTTTTTTTTTTAAAGATTTATTTATTTATTTATGAATATACTGTCACTGTCTTCAGACACACCAGAAGAGGGCATCCTATCTCATTACAGATGGTTGTGAGCCACCATGTGGTTGCTGGGATTTGAACTCAGGACCTCTGGAAGAGCAGTCAGTGCTCTTAACCGCTGAGCCATCTCTCCAGACCCCCTGTGCTGGAGCCTTAAGGCAAGACTTTGTACATGCTAGGTAAATGCTGCCCCACACCTGGAGCAGAGGCAACCAGCCACGTAGAATAAATGGGATATTTTAGGTTATATCTAGTCAGAAAGCCTAGCTATATAGCCAAGGTACTTGTAAATATCTTATTCCTTCCAAGTTTGGTTTCTCTACTGAAAAACAAAAACAACTTTTTTGGAGACAGGTCTCACTCTGTATCCCTGTCGGCCTGTAGCTTACTATGCAGTGATGGGATTAAAGACACCACTAGACCATTCACTTGCTAAAACTTCTTGATCTCGGTAACGTGGCTATAAATTAAAAAGAAATCTAGATTTTCTCCCTGAACTCAAGAGATAAATAAATTCAGCTAGGTATAGTGGTGTACACCATAAATCCCAGCACTCTGGACCTTGAGGCAGGCAAATCTCTGAGTTCAAGGCCAGCCTGGTCTATAGAGTGAGCTCCAGGACAGCCAAAGCTGCAGAGTGAGACAAACAAAACCCAATCAATCACACACAAAAATATATTTGCAGGTATAACTGCAACACAGAAACAGACAAAATGATGGTCTAACGCCAAAGCTTCCTTCTCTAAGATTAGGACCCACATGTTATGCAATTCATTCAGCTAAGACCTTTTCCTCCCTGAACCTTTGGTCATTAATGAATGCCTCCACCTTCTTCTTCAGACACATGCAGTTGGTCACACTATGTTTACTGTGCTAGATATACAGACTTTGACAGCTTCTCCAGTGAGGGCTCAATGACTGTGAAATGGTCCCACTCCAAAGTTTTCTTTTTAATTTTGTAAAAATTATTTTATGTTACATATATGGGTGTTTTGAATGCATATATGTCAGTGCACTACAAGTGTCCAGGTACTTGTGGAGGTCAGAAGATGGTGTCAGATCCACTGGGAATGGACTTATAGATAGCTGTGAGCTGCCCTGTGGGCACTGAGACTGGAAGAGCAGCCAGTGCTGTTAACTGCTGAGTCATGAGCCACATGCAAAAAGTTTCAAGAACGACCAACCAAAGCCAGTGTGAATTCTTGCTTTATAAACTACCAAAAAGACAAGGCCTAAATACACACACAATTCTGGTTATAGCAGAAGACAGGCTAAGAAGACAAAGAACAGGTCCTCCTCAGATCCAAAGGGTCCTAACTGCCTACGTGCCAGGGTCTTCCCAATGACAACTGAGCAGGCACTGCCCAAAGACCAACTGGACACACTGCAGTTGGTCGGGGACTAGGGACTTAGTACAGTGACAGAACTTACCTAACATGTGCAAAGCCCTGGATTCCATCCCTACCAGGGCCAGAAGAGAGAGTGAGGGGGAGAGGATGGAAGTAATTCAGCTCCCATACCCATTATTTTCTCACCGTTTTGAACCGCAGAAGGCATTCCTCAAAGTCTTCAAACTCTATCTTGCACTCTTTCTTTGCCCGGGTAGCACCGATCGCATGTGCACACTCTATCCACTCTTTTTCAAAAGCGTGGCACCGAGCAGCATTCTTGTAGGGCTGTTCAGCACTTTGGAAATTAAAGTGACGGTCTAGGCTAATGCCCAGCTTTTTCTGAATATCAAGGAAAGGCATGGCTGTAAAAGAACATAAAGAAGACAAGAGTGTGATAAAAGGACACGCTCCTGAGAAGAGACGAGATAGTTCATCTATGGAGTCTGAGGCCCCAAACTTCTCCTCACCAAGCTTTTTGGTTTTTTGAGATAGCATCTCATTTAGCCCAGGCTACCTTTAAATCACACTGCAGTGAAAGATGGCCTTGATTTCCTCATCCTCCTGCCCCCATCTTCCAAGCGCTGGGATTATCAAACTCTTTTATTAGACAGGTTCTCCCAGAGTAATTTGGAGGCTTTCACAAAACTCATGGAATAGAAAACTAAAATTAAGCCGGGCGGTGGTGGCGCACACCTCTTTAATCCCAGCACTTGGGAGGCAGAGGCAGGCGGATTTCTGAGTTCGAGGCCAGCCTGGTCTACAGATTGAGTTCCAGGACAGCCAGGGCAACACAGAGAAACCCTGTCTCGAAAAACCAAAAAAAAAAAAAAGAAAACTAAAATTAATTTTTTTCTATATATAAGGATATTTTTGTCAAGGGTTAAAAAAATAGTTTTGACTCAAATAAACAAACAAAAATCAAAACAAAACAAAAAAAAACCAACAACCACAAAAAAAAAGGAAAATAAGTAATATAAACACACATTGTTTATTTACATTGTTCTATACGTTCTTTCCATTCTAATCTAGATGACAGGAGACGCTCTCTTCAGTCTCTCTTTTCCTAGAAGTAGTTTGTCCTAGGCTGGAGAGATTACTTAGAGGCTAAAAGTGCATGCTGCTCTAACAGGAAACTCAAGTTGGGTTCTTAGCAACCACTTTGGGTGGTTTACAACTGTAGCTCCAGCTTCAGGTGGATATGATGTCTCTGTATTCATAGAGCAGCTACGATCATGGGCCCATAGTCATACATCCACACATAACTAAAACTTAAAACATTTAAAAAGGACTGGATCCATTTCTGTAACAGACTATTTACCTCTATGTTTTTACTACTGGTTTTTGCTTTGACAGCAAAATCAAGCAGATGCCAGTTAACTGCTAAAAATAAATGAACAAGTCAAATTAAAAATGTAAAAATCAGGAACTTTCAAACAACTTACACAGACAGCTATAAAGAGATGGCTAGACTCTGGTGCCCAGTAGAATATATGACAAACATTAAGCAAAAAAGAATATATGGAAAAGACATAATAAAGTTGACATAGAACGAAATAATCCCAAACGACACAAGTGCTTAACACTGGAAAACAACACAGCACACACATCAGTATCATTTCTTTCTTCTTTTTTTTTTTTTTTTTTTTTTTTTTTTTTTTTTTGGTTTTTTGAGACAGAGTTTCTCTGTGTAGCCCTGGCTGTCCTGGAACTCACTCTGTAGACCAGGCTAGCCTTGAACTCAGAAATCAGCCTGCCTTTGCCTCCCAAGTGCTGGGATTAAAGGCGTGTGCCACCACTGCCCGGCTCAATATCATTTCTGTACGAAGAAATTCAGGGGTGAATTTAATTTATAAAGTTTTCTCCCATTCTTTTAGTCATTTACTGTGTATGTTACAGGAAAATAGGGGAAACAGCTCATCATAAACACTGGAGACCCACACCAGAAACCTGAGTAAGAATTTAGGGGAGGAAGCCTTTGGGAGAATAGAAAAAGTCCCAGTACCCACATAATTCACAACTGCCTAGTTCCAGAGGCGGATCCACATAAAACACACGCACACGCGCACACGCGCACACGCGCGCACACACACACACACACACACACCCGAGCAGTAAGCAGTGTGTTCCAATATGGCAATGGCAACAGAAGTTACGACAGTGAGTACGGACAGAGGCTGTGGAGCGGCTGCTGAGCTAGGTGCACAACAGGAGGAAAGCAAAGGGCTCAGGAGAGTGGGGGCCAAACCAGGATGTAGCGCAGGCCTTTAATCTCAACCCTTGGGAGACAGAGGCAGATGCTTCTCTGTGAGTTCAAGGCCAGCTTAGTCCACAGTGTGAATTCTAGCTAGGACTACACAAAGAAACCACGTCTCAAAACAAAACAAGCAAACAAACAAAGGAGCGGGATGTCAGGGTAGGAAGGAGGCCAAAGCAGGAATCCGGCAGAGGGCGGAATTACTCTGGAGGGCTGGAGGGGACTTAGTTGTGGGATGAAGGGAAGGCAGGAGGACACGCCCAGACCTGGGCCACCCACAGCGAGAGGAAATTTGTCAAGGAGCAATCCCTAGCAAAGCTTCTTGGCTGTGCGGAGACAGCAGCGCCTACCGCACTTCAGCAGTGCCCTTGTCAGGTCCCTGGGTGCAGTTCACTCACGACAGCCGGCTCCGGGAGGACGCAGGCGCCTGCCGTAAAGGAGGCCCGCAGCGCGACATCTACAGAGCGACGCCGTAAATCGACCACTGGTCGAGTCCCTGCGGGAACCGTAGAAACCAAGCACAGCGGTCTGCGCCTGCGCAGCCAGCAGCCCTGCCTCCAGCCTCTAACAGCTGATAAACTGACCTCCCCTCATCACTACTGCTCTGCCGGTAGAGTTCTCCCTTTCAGCACTGTCATAACAGTTGATTGTAGTGCTTCTTGAGCAAGGTCACACTCGAGAAAGAGTATTGCTTCCCTCACCCCAAGAAAATGTAGTGGTTAAAACTTGTGGGCCGTGACCCCAAACTCACTGTGGCCGTTTCCCTTTCTGATAATAAACATAACAGCCGGCTTGAGAGACAGCTCAGAGGTTAAGAGCTTTTGTTGCTCTGGGAGAGACCCCCGGTTTAACTCTAGGTTCAGAGAATCCAACATACTCTTCTAACCTCTGCAACACCAGGAGCACACACGTTACGTGGGTGCATATACATGAAGACAAAACACTCACACATAGAGTAAATCTTTTTTTGTTTTTTTGTTTTTTTTTTTTTTTTTGGTTTTTCGAGACAAGGTTTCTCTGTGTAGCCCTGGCTGTCCTGAAACTCACTCTGTAGACCAGGCTGGCCTCAAACTCAGAAATCTCCCTGCCTCTGCCTCCCAAGTGCTGGGATTAAAGGCGTTTGCCACCACTGCCCAGCTTGACATCAGTTTCAATTCAGTTAACATTTTCTGAGCTCTCAATCTGTATCCAGCCAAATATTGGCTCATTATGGAACTAGTGAACCATGCTCACAAAGTTCTAATGGCAAGGAACTGATGGGCACTCTTTCCAACCCACCCCTCTCCTTGTGCACTGTGAAGGCTTGCTCTGGCGTCTCATATACTCAATAGTCCCTTGCTAGTTACCTGGGGCTAGAACCCAGGACGCCATATGCTAGCACATACTTTATCACTGATCTACGCCTCCAGCCACCTTTGCTTTCTTGTTTCTTAGTGGGTACCATCTTTCCAGTCTCTTAGGCAGGTAAAGTCTAATTCCTTCCACAAGTTCTCAATGTATTTCTCACTTCTGGTGAGAACAGGACCATCATAAGAAAATGACTATAAAGGCATATGATCAATGACAAATGATCCTTGGCCTCAGTTTCAGGACTAATAATAGCAGCGGGAAGTGTAACTGGAGCCCTATACTCTGTCTAAAGGCAGAAACAGCTAAAATAACTCTATAGCTCCATCTTTTTTTTCTTTTTTAAACTTTATTTAATGTATGAGTGCTCTGATGCATATACATCCACCTGCCTGAAGAAGGCATCACATCCCCCTATAGATGGTTGTGAGCCACCGTGTGGTTGCTGGGAATTGAACTCATGACTTCTGGAAGAGCAGCCAGTGCTCTTAACCACTGAGCCGTCTCACCAGCCCTTCATAACTCCATCTTATTGTTATAAGAGAATTAAGGTATCAAATCTTCAAATCTTGCTCTTTTGTTTTGTTTTATTTGCTTTTTCTTTTCTTGTTTTGTTTTTTTTTGTTTTTGTTTTGTTTTGACAGAGTTTTCTCTGTATAACTTCCCTTGCTCCCTGGAACAGCTTTGTAGATCATGCTAGCTTTGAACTCATAGAGATCTACCTGCCTCTGCCTTTCCAGTGCTGGGATTAAAAGTGTGTGCCACTACTCCTGTCTATGCAAAATTTCAAGAGAAGCTAGAAATCTACTGTAACCCCAAATATTGCCTAGGCAACCTAACTGAATTTCCACTTTGTCCCAATCTTGTTTATCTTCGATGACAGGTTTGATGACAGGATTCCTGTAGGCAAGAAGTGTGGTGCGCTGCTGCGCATGCATAGTCTCCCTCCTGAAATCGCCATTAAACACCAGTAAGGCGAATGCCTGAGCAGCCGGTAACTGTCAAAAACTGACGCAGCCCGACGTGTCATATCTGCCGAGACGCATCAGCCAATAGAGTAGGGACACGCCGACCCGATGGGTATATAAGGAGAGCTCCTCTTCCCCTCTGGGTCTTTCCTCATTTTCATTGGAATAAAGCTTGCTGCAGAAGGATCCTGGTGTCCGAGTCCGTTCTTGCTGGCGAGAAGGTGACGCGGGTCACAGTTGGTGCCGAAACCCGGGAGCAGGCCGAACCATCGCCAGGCACCGAGGGAGACCCTCCGCTCGCGGAGTGGATTCAGAACTGCAGACAAAGGTAAGCTCTGAGAGGCATGTTTGGCTTTGATCTATTTCGTGTCCCTCCCCAGGCAGTGCTCGTTCTCTTCCTTCTGGTTTTGCAGGATGAGAAAAGCTGCTCGACTATAGCGGCAGGCCAAGGAGTGCTAGACGAATTACAGACCAGCATGTCAGAAACAGAGCAGGATAAGCGCTTAGGAGCTCAAAAAAAAAGGGAGCTCAGAAAGAAAAAGGAAAAAAAGGCATGCCTAAGAAAACAGACCCTTCCAAAGACGTTCAGTCCACGGAAGTGAGAGGTAGGGGAAAGGACGCCCTTGGGAGAGACGAAGGGAAAAGAAGCCTCAGAAAGAAATCTCTTTATCCGGTAAAGGAGCTGGAGGCCTCAGGGCTTGGTGGCTCTGAGTCGGAGGAGCTAACTTCCTCTGAAGAGGAAAGAGCTGCTTCAGGTGGGAAGAGCAGGGTTAGAAAGAATTGGAAAATTAAGAAAGCAGGGTACTGAGGTGTTACAATAGCTGCCTGCTACATCTCCAATGAACGAGATAAAAAGTTACATCTTGAATATGAGAGAGAGAGAAAGGGTTTTAGAAAAACAGTTGTCCTCTCTCTGAGCTGTGTCAACAAAAAAGAATGAAAAGGCTATTTCAGAGCTCATCTAGAAAAAGAAAGAAATTCGGGAGACGTCCTGAATTTCTCTTTATTTATGTCCTTCTTTGTTGTCTGTCCTTGGCGCGCCAATGTCCACGTGTTTGTGTTTGCTTTTTGTTTCATTGTCTAAATGTTCTGTGTTTGTTGCATGTTCAAAAGAAAAGATCGTTAAAACTGCTTGATACAACCTTTGGGCTAGTTTAACTTTGTTTTAAAGACAGTCTTAATATACACAGCAGAGGCTGATAAGCTACCCTACACCTGTAGCTAAGAGTTGAGCTGAGCTGAAAAAGCCTTTCCAGGAATTGACTGTTGGCATAAGCTGCTTTTAAAAGAAACCAATAGCTTTTTGGGTTTTATAAAGAAGCTAAGAGTTGTTTTGTCCTAGAAAAGTCTCGGTGACAAGGTGCTTTTCTCTTGAAATTACAGCTAGAAAAGGCAACAAATTTTGTTTGGTCTAAATATATAAGATGCATAGCCACTTCATTGTTGTTTCTGATTGGTTTTAAAAGTATAAAAATGTTCTAAATTATTGGGTGTGATTAGAAATTTACAACTTTGGTAACAGAAAGTTGGTGTAAAACTAACTCAGTGTTATAGTCATTCAGAAACCAGAAACCAGTATCTCTTCAATGAGATATTAAAAGCTGCTTCATCAAAAGAAACTCAAAATTATAGTTAAACTGCCAGTATTCCATTGGCTACAGTTGGCAGTTCAACTGTGAGTTTGGAATTCTTTGACTCATCCATGTTTATGGTTGAGAAGAGGATAGAGGAGAGTTGCCTATTTTGTCAGGAAGAGATTACTTGATTTGGAGCTCAGATTGGAGTAACACTAGTAAAAATCATAGTGCCATGATGAATGCCCAGGCAGGCATGTAGATTGGGATATTAACATGCTTCTAGGAGAAGGTCAGTGTGAAGGCAATGTTAATCAGGTTGAACTGCCTACACAGCTCTCAGACCATACAAGCAGACTTAGATACATTCATCTTTGCGATGAAATTGCACCCTCATACAATCAGGGTCTGGCCATAGCTTGCACAGAACCTGACAGCCGTTACAAAAGAAACGGCCGTTACAAAGTTGCGCCCAGAAGCTTGGAAGGAGCTTAGAGCTCAATGTTTCCAAATGTTTCTTAAAGAGCCAGGAAAAGTGGTGATGGTTGCTATTTGCATTAATGGCTTAAACTGCTTCTTTAAATTTCTTGCCTGGATTTATATGGGTTCAGCAAGTATGTTCTCAGAAGCTATACACTCATTATCTGATACTTGTAACCAGGGTTTGATAGCACTAGACATCAGCAAGTCTGTTCAGACACCAGATTCTTCTCACCCCTATGGCTTTTCAAATAAGCACTATATTTCTTCATTGATTAGTGGTATTGGTATTTTCATGATGGGCACAGGACTCTCTTGGTATCATGGAGTCATGGGATTGCTTCATCCTCAACCAACGGAATCCCTTCTATGGGCATATTGTATTTTAGCAGGATCTTTGGTGTTTGAAGGAGCGACACTTCTTGTTGCCATAAATGAACTTCGCAGGAGCGCCCAGGCCAAGGGCACATCATTTTACAAGTATGTCATAGAGAGTCGTGATCCGAGTACACTCCTGGAGAGCGACCCATCAGTAAGGGCAATCCATAATGTCAAAGCCACAGACCTGAGATTAGGCAAAGTCAGATTTAAGGCAGAAGTTGATTTAGATGAACGAGTTGTTACAAGATCATATTTGGAAAAGCAAGATTTTGACCAAATGATGTAGGAAATTCAAGAAGTGAAAACTCCTGAACAATTAGAAGCCTTTATGCTTAAACATGGAGAAAACATTATTGATACTCAGAAGATGAAGTAGACAGGCTTGAGAAAGAGTTAAAGAAACAAAATCCTGAAGTTCGGCATGTAGATCTTGAGATCCTATAGACAAGATGAGTGAGTCACTTGGTTTGTGAAGAATGCTTTTACCTTTTCTCCATATATTGCAACCTAAAGTTATTAAGCCCAGGACAAGATGTTTCCTTTTTACCCATGCTGGTATGCATGTGGCTCCGCCTTGTGTTTTTTGTATATAATGGTAGTTATAATGGTAGTTTTTTGAGTTGTGATAATAGTACTTGCTTTTATGCTGTATGTTGGAATGTTTCTATATT